CAAGACAGAGCCCCCCACTACTGTCATTGACTCTACTTTGGAATTTGTGGGGGCTTCATCACTTGAGACTTTCAAGAAGAGATTGGAATGCCATTTGTCAGAAATGGTGTAGGGTCTCCTGCTTGGTCGGGGGGGTTGGACTAGATGACCTACAAGGTCCCTTCCAACTGTATTAATCTGTAATACTATAAGGCTCAAGTCCAACATAGATCAAATGCAACCATGCAACCACCAAGGCTTCAATCAGACAAAGTAACAGGTTTTCTGAAATAATTTGTATGCTCCTCTGGAACCCAACTGGGCCCATCAGTCACCTAGAGTGGGTCAATCCAATAGGCTTGGCTTCTCTGTGGTAGGAGGTGGGACATGAGAATTTGAGGCTCACCAGTGAGAGTGGTCTGTCCATAGCAGGAGAGAAATCAAATCTCCCTCAAATACAGAACATGCTGTCTTTGCTCCAACAGAAAAACCAGATCTAGTGTATTATCACTGCTATGAGTTGGGCTCTGCATAATTTGGGCCAGGCCGATGGCTGCCATTGTGACCATAAACTTCTCAGCTATCTCTAAGCCTGTACCCAGGTATGGCAGATTGAAATCCCCAGGAGTCCAGGGAGCGCCACAGCCAGCCCAGCCATGGAATCAAGATGCTCAGGCAAGGAGGTTACTAGTAGCAAATAGTCTGGTATAATAGCAACCGTTCTAACAGACCTCTCCTTGTGACCAACTTAAGAAATAGTCTCTCATATCTGGCAATCTGTGGAGTAAGGACCCTGGATACCTCTCAGGTATCTTGGATGATCATAGCCCCCTACTTCCTGTACTCTGAGGTCTTAGTTGGTGTCAAATCTGGAAATTGTCTGGGCAGATCTAAGTGAGCAGGATCCCTGCCCTCTTGTTCCAGCCAAGTCTTAGTAATGCACACTAGATCAGCCTTTTTCTCAACAATTAAGTTGTGGATTAAGGTGCATTATTACAGACTGATCTAGGATCACTATATATATGTATATGCTATGGTGTTCCTTATACTATAGAATGCCAGGATCTGACTGACTTTTCATGAGTCTTAGAAGCCAGGCAGGTTGGGCTTTGTTAAGCTTTGTATGGGAAACCAAAGATTACATTATTCCATGGAGTCTGCTACAATTATTATTACTATTGTTATATTAATTTAAATTAATTGACTGCCCTACTCCAATGGGCTCGGGGTGGTGTACAAAACTGGGGGGAAATGTAAAAACAGATTAAAAAAACATTAAATCAGATGGACAACATTTGGCCCTTATTTTTCCAATATTGAGAAAGATGGTTAAAAGACATTGTATCCTTGAATCAAAAGTAGATAGTCCTTGATTTACAACAATTCATTTAGTCACCATTTGAAGTTACAATGGCACTGAAAAAAGTGACTTATGGTCGTTTTTCACACTTATGGCCATAGCAGCATCCCTGTGGTCACTTGATTAAAATTTGGATACCAGTTTGGCTTTCAACAATGGAAGCACTGATTCACCCAAACATTATTAATATGGAAAATATCATTAGCTATTCTGAATGAAAAGGGGAAGCTCAAAATTAAACAAGAACTGAGTGATCAAGGGATCAATATGGCATGGTATTCACAAGTGCAGATACATTCTAGATATGAGAAAGATGTTAAATTATATGGTTTCTACAAAGAATTAACAGAACTAGATAAGATATTAACAGGAACGGAAGAAAGATTAATAAAGAAACTGTACAGCTACTTATTGGGCATTAAACTGGAAGATGAACAAGTGAAGAAGACAATGATAGCATGGACAAAAAAATTTGGTTACACAATAGAACTAGATAAATGGCAGAAATTGTGGGACAGGAACTACAAATTAACAATATCAACTGCATATAAAGAAAATCTGTATAAGATGTTTTATAATATAGATGGTACTTTGCACTGGTAAGGTTAGTAAAGATGTTTAAAGATAAGTCAGCCAAATGTTGGAAGTGCCATCAGATACCTGGGTCTTATCATATGTGGTGGACATGTACAGAAGCAAAAAAATACTGGACAAAATACATACATGGCTGCAAAAGATGACAAAGAGGACACTGATTTAAAACCAGACATATTTTTGTTGGGGATTGTACCTACAGCTAGAATTGTATTTTCACAAAATTGGAAAAATGAAGAGATCCCCACAGATGAGAATGTGATTAGGAAAATATTACAATGTGCAGAAATGAATAGATTAATGCTTCCAATTAAGGAGAAAGAACAAACTGAATATTATATGACATTGGAAATATTTTATCAATGGTTAGAGAATAAAAATGGAAGTTAGAAACAAAAGGAGATTAGTGAAATGTAGAAAATATGTAAAGATAGAGATGTAAATAACATGATGATTGTTATTATTATGACCATTAAGACCATTATATTCAATATCATTATTATATTCTTATTAGAAGATATGTTAAGAGGGAAAAATGAATAGGTTTACTATGTTCAATACTACTATTGTAAGATCAGAGAATTAATATCAATGTAATGAACACTGTTGTAAATTTTGATTGTTATTGCACAGAGATATTTGTACCCAGATGACAAACTGTTCAATGGAAGATGGAATGTTTATAATAAAAAAAAAATTGGACACTTAGCAACTGACGTTGTCCTAAAATCATGGGATCACCGTTTCCATTTTCTGACAAGCAAAATTAGTGGGGAAGCCAGATTCACTAACTAATGTGTTACTCACTTAATAACTGCAGTGATTCACTTAACAACTATGGCAAGAAAGATTGTAAAATGGGACAAAAATTCACTTAACAACTGTCTTGCTTAGCAGTGGAAATGTTAGGCTCAATTGTGGTCATGTCAAGGACTGCTTGTATTTCAAAGTGTGGAAAACCCTACAGCAAAAAATATCTTAAACAGTCTTTTAGTTAAAGATGTTTTTTTCAGATTTGTCTATATTATCTACTATATGAATGCCATCTGTACAAATGTCTGTTGGATATAAATATTGAAATAATATTTTAAAATTTGCATCTTTCCTTGCAATTAAAAACATATGAAGTACAATAACATCCTTTACATTGCCTCTATATATTTTCTCTTCCTATTTTTTATTATGTTCCTTATGGTTTTTTTTTCAATGTTTTGGTAAAAATGAAAAAAAGAAGGGAGGAAATGTAACTGTAGTATCTACCTCAAGATACTGGAGTGAAATGCTACTAGTTTTCTGCTGAAACATAATGTATACATACAATACATAAACTCAGTCAGCTTCAGAAGGGCAAACATTTATATCACAATCATGTAGATTGATCTTTTAGAAAAATACGGCATTTTACATATTGCTAAAAATACAATCATTTGTACGCAGAATGCATGAAATGACCTCAAATCATACAACTGAGCTAGTTCTAGAGCCAAAAGAATAAGCACACATGTATCAAATCTTGTGTCAATTCCAGTTAACTTTCCCAAAGTGCTACATATTTTATCAAGGAAACTTCTGTCTGACTGCAACTGTTCTTCAGACACCATTTCATTGCCACACCAGTCAAAATCAATTCTGTGGATACCTGATTAAACTGTATCAATAACTTGAAAAGAAAAAAAATCTTGATTAGACCCCTAATTTGTTTAATTGTCATAACATTGATCAATTTTAATCTGTCTGACCTGCATTGCAGAAGATTTAAGGGCACATATTCCATAGACTTTAAATGTAATATTGAATATACTTGGGAAAAATGTCAGCTGTTGTATAATCCATACTAAAAGATTTTCTCCCTCCCCCCCCCCTTTCCTGGAAGTAATTAAAAGATGCTTTTCTTGACTAATGATCCCTTATTTAGAAATGGGAAGTCGATATTCCTCCTGCAGCAGTCAGCTTCAATTTGTCACACGGCTCTGAAAGTCTGAAAGACGGTTCTTTGGGTTGTTTGGTAATTGCTGAAGCCAATTGTTGAAGCTTTTAAACCTGTCCTAATCAGAGGTTCATAGGCAACCAACCACCAGACACCAGGTGATTTCGTTTGTTGCAAAGTTTTGAAACTTCCCCCATCGCCTTTCATTTTGGCTATTTTACAAATTTTAAATGTTTTGCCTTTGGTGTAAAAATCCTAAATGTAAACTGTAGCTAGCTTATTATTTTTTTGGTATAGGAGATATTTGCTTAGAATTCAGATTAACTTGTATTTTTTGTTTCTTTTAGGATAATGATGATATTTTTATCTAGCCTTTTAAATATATATTTTGGTCAACTCAAGATTGCAGAGGTATCTAATACACCTGCCTCTTATTTTCTGCACAACAACCTTGTCAGATGAGCAGCCCCAAAGTCATCAAACTGGATTTTGTGCCTAAGGGAGCCCTCAAATTCATAATCTCCTTCTTTCTAGCCTTAATCATTACACCAAATTGGCTCTGTCTGGAAATATTTACTTTTTTGACTGCTAGGTCATAATGTTGGTTTTCATATTGCAAAAATTAATTATTTCTGAATTTTTGAAGTACTGCATTAGCTTAAATTACAAAGATGAAATAGATTCCAATGAATCATCTAAGTCTGAGGTCAAGAAAAAAATACCTAATATATATATTTATGTAGAAATCATTCATATTATTTAAAAAATATAAGTAATCATATTATTTAGTAATCAGTATGTCTCTGACTTAGTAATTTTTGCATTTCCTTTAGATTTTACATTCATGTAATTATAATTAAGTTTTATAATTTTGTGGTTATATATTTTTAGTTTGTACCATGAATGCTTTCTTTTTATACAAAAATATAATGCATTACTGTAAACAACCATGTCTTAACAGAAGGTAAAATTCAATGTGATCAAATGTTTTAAGCATAGCAAGAGGTTACTCTAGGTTTAGATACAAAATTCATTTGATAGAAATTGCTGTTCAGATATTTTCCAAAGATGAACTTTTCTAAGATCATGTATTGCTTTTTGAAATTAGATGTTAAAAATGTTTTTACAAAAGGAGCCTACCTTGTGGAGTTTGGAACAGGTTTTGCACGGCCTTGGGTATTTTCTTCCCATATGCTATTTGCTAATTCATTTCCAATGGAGGACATTACTTTGATGAGTTCAACAGGCCAATTATCCAAGTCAAGTGAACGGACACGTGATAAATGTGTACCAAGGTTTCGGTGTATCCCTGAGCATTCAATACAAATGAGAGCTCCCAAATTTAAACTTGCCCAATCGGGATCTATTGGTAAAGAAAACAAAATAAACATTTTTCTACTAATAATCTGAACTAACTCTTATGTCCTCTTCATGAAAGTGACATACCTATTTTTTTGTTTACAATATACAGTGTAGTAAAGAATAAATGAAACAGGATTAAAGGATTTAAGACCCAAAATACATAATACTTATTATTCTACTCCTCTTATGTATCCGAGTGACAGAATGAAAAGGCAGATGTTCTGACATGAAAGAATATGTATATATGTATATATACATGTATATGTGTGTGTGTGTGTGTGTGTGTGTATGTATGTATATGTGTGTGTGTATATATATATATAGTTTGTTTTCTGAGGTTTTTGCGGGTATTTGTATGTGGATCTTTGGTTATTCGGGTTTTCTCCCGCGTAAAATTGGAAGTATCTAGGCGACGTTTCGATGAAGTCTTATTCATCATCTTCGGGCTTGTGTCTTCGGCTTTGTGCTTCTTGGAGTAATGTGAGCTTGCAGCTGCTTCTTCCTTTTAACTGCTAGTGGGGGTGTGACTTGATTGGGTGGGGGCTTGGCTGTGTTCTGATTGGGTGGGGGTGTGTTCTCATTGGTTGGGGGGTTGGCTGTGTTCTGATTGGTTGTAAGTTGGCTGGGTTGTAGGTTTTGTTTAACAGATAACCATTACACATAAAAACTAAACAGCCCAAAAAGTAGATTTGGTTTAAACAGCGAAATGTCAATATTTAAAAATAAATAAAAGTAGAACAAAAGAAAAACTGTTTTGCTCATAATGAGTTTGATCCAGAAAGTTCCGCACATAGGTTGTTTTTCCCCCCTCATAGAAGTCTTTGGATTTGGCAAAATGCTACTGCAAAATAGGCAATGTCTGAAAATATTCATCTTCACTCTTGTAGTTACCTATCTTCCCTGAAAGAAATGCTTCCTGAAACATTTGGAACCAATTCTTTATGCTTTTTTTCAACCTTGAAGTGCAAATGTATTCAAGAAACTGATGTTGATCACTCAGTATTTTATTGTTACCATGGCACATATCTGAATGGAGTAATACTGAGTAGAGTAATACTTGATGCTAACAGGATTAGGAATTCTTCTTAGCCCACTAAGAAAAAAAAATATCAGGGAAAATACATTTAAAAAAAAAACATTATTTAAGAGTTACCAATATTTTCTCTCTTACTAGAGGTTAATAGCAGCGACAGAGAAAAAGACAACAGTGTTCCAAATCAGTATCATTAAGATTTTTAATAATCTCAAATAAAGTAACATAACGAACACAAACAAAAAAAGTAAAATAGAACATAATAGCAAGAGGGCAGCACTGAACATGTTTTCTATGATGCAAAAAGACCACAAGCTTTAAGAAGCTCAGGATGACATTTCCTATATAAAATGGTTGTACTTACTTTGTATTTCACAGTCTACACAGTGAGAATTTCCTCTGACATTTCTTATTGACTGAAGAGCCATGACCTCATTCTGACTTGTCAGTCGGGACTGTAAAGAAATATACAAACAATAAGACCTAAAGCAAATGCAGACATAGCAGCAATTGTCTGCTGGTGATAAAAAGTTCAAACAGAAGTAGAATGATCACAGCATTTGATGCCTTTAGTTAGTGGAATGGGACAATTCCATAGCCAACTCACTGCAACCAACTCACTATGGCCAACTTGCTGCGGGACAACTCGCCATGGATAACTCACCGCAGAACAATTTAATAATTCAATTTAATTATTTAAAATAAATAAAAATTATTTAATATTTGTCATTCACATTTCATTCTGTCCCTCCTTTTGCATCCTTTCTTTAATGATTTTATTCCACCATTTCTTTGATATTAGTGTAACTCATGTCCTACAGCGAGTTGTCCCATGAAGAGTTGGCTGTGGTAAGTTGGCCCTGGTAAATTGTCATAGACCCTTTAGTTAGCTTCTCAGAGAGTTGATCCCTTAGCATCTTTAACTACTTCAATTCAGTATCTGATAAGAAGAGCTTGCAATTTTCACAATGTTATTGAGAGCTTAAGCTTTTCTCAAAGCATTGGAGCATATAGGGAATAGGATAGTCAAAATCCAACTGGAGTTATCAGATATAGTAATTTCAACACTGAAGGATGATATTATTAATACATATATCAAACAGAGAACAACCCATTGTTATACAGAAATTCTGAAAAACTAAAATAATTTCTCCAAGTCCCATGTTTCTTTGCAGAAAAATCTGGAAAAAATAATGCAATGGCAAGCAAATATCAGAGTTAAGCCAATGGCTTGCTTAAAAAGCCCCTCTAGTCTGGTCTGTTAATGATTCCTTCTTTGATCTGAAGATAGAATTTATATGAAGTGAGACTTTCTCTTATATACTATATTAGGTGAATCCTAAGACTTAGTATAGGAACTCCTGGCGATGGATTTGAAGAGAATCATATAATGCTATATATAAATAGATATAATATGGTAGATAAATTTTCCCCATCTGTCCCATCTACCCATTTTAACAAATGTTAAATTGTTGTTACATATTCATGCTATTTTTATGACCACATCATGTAGTAGCTATTACATTTATTGTTCCTGCTAATACAATTTAACTTTTTTTTGTTTAAAACCATGTCTAAGTTTTACATTGCTGAATAGCAACAGCATTAGACTTATATACTGCTCCATAGCGCTTTACAGGATTCTCTGAGCAATCTCTCAGCCTATTGCCCCCAACAATCCGGAACTTCATTTTAGCGACCTCAGAAGGATGGAAGGCTGAGTTAACCTTGAGCCTCCTAGGATCGTACTCCTGGATGTAGGCAGATTTATCCTGCAATACTGCATTCTAACCACAGTGCCACCATGGCTCTTAATGTTTTGAGTCATAACAAAGTTCTCCTAGTTAATGTATATTTCGTATAATATAAATTCCGAAGATATATACCCAAGCCTAGCTGAATATATTCATGATTAAGTTCCACTGGGAAAAAACTGAACAAATTTAAGTCACATACATATAAGTAATTATGCGTACTATAAGTAAAGTATTACTTTCAAAAGAATGCGATATGAGTATCTTTTCATATACCTAGACCATAAAAATAAAAGAAAGAATTGTATCAATAAAGTTCTCAGCCAATTTGATATTTTGTCAGTTATCTACTAAAGCCCAAGGACATTACCACAAAATAGGTACAATTCTAATGAGAAGCTTTTGTTCAGAATAGATGATGATGATAATTCTTAAGCATGCTTGTGTCAAGTTTCGAAGTGTATTCAGGCTGCTTTCACTTTTACTGCTTCACAGCTTGCCAACAGACCAGGGGAATAAGAGAGGGAGAGATTGGAATGTGAATTCCAGACAATAACAAGAAACTGTCTCATGGGAACCAAGGACATTCCAGTATTTGTTTGCCAGAGGCGTGGAGGTTTTTCCGTAACAAGACCTGGGCACCTAATTGGACAATGTGACCTGCACTAATGTGGGGAGGGAGGATTCTACACTTTAATTATATTGAATTGCCAGGGAATTAGCCAGAGCTGGTTTTGCTTTCATTCTGTGCCAAAATGATGTACTTAATAAAGTTTTGACAAGTAGATTGGATTGTCTCAACAGTGCTTGCTTGATTGGGTTCGTCAGTTGGAACCTTGACAACTTGTGCTGAAATATGGACCCTGTGCAATATTACTCTGAAAATGTTAACTTTCTTAAATATAAGGTAGCGTATTTCCTATGTGGAAATAATCATTTCCAAGAACTGAAAATTTTAAGTAGTTTTCTTTTTTCTAAAATAGTTCTAAATGCCTTTGTGCATATCTGTAAGAATTTTGAATACATAAAAAACAATCATAATAATTTAGTCAATAGTTTCATCCCAAATGTATTCTGGAATATATAATTATAAGGAAAATGAAAAAAGAAAAGGAAGAACTTATTAAAAAAGCAAATAACATGTTGCACAACAGGGCAAAATACACATTAATTTGAGTTTTAGATGCTAAGAAAATGATTCCTTTATATCAGGGATGTCAAACTCACGTCACAGTGGCATCACGTGACGCATCTGGACTTTTCCCCCCTTCTCTAAACGGGTGTGGATGTGGCCAGCATGTGATGCATCCAGCCCATGGGCCAGGAGTTTGACAGCCCTACTTTATATTATTAGTGTTGAACATCTAACCTTATTTTTGCTGCTTTCACACGATTGTAGGCTGGCCAGAATCTGACTCTCTATTGCTTGGACCCAGGCATCTCTTTCTTCATATGTTGTAGCTTCAAAGTGCCATGTCTGGCCAGTAAGGGACACAATGATAAATTCAAAATTTTCTTCTTGATCTGAAAATGAATTGAGAACTAAGTAAGAGGAAGGGAGAAGATTGATTTGATTGAATTCTCAGATTAAAGGTTTAAGTAAATTATTATTTCATAATTAGCAACCGTGCAAAAAAGATACAGCAGATCAAGGAACTTTTCTGCCATGACTCTTTCTCCAGGTTTTTAAAAAAATAAACAGTAATCTTTAAAGATATGATTAGGAATGCCTATTTCAGGGGTCCTCAAACTTTTTAAACAGGGAGCCAATCCACGATCCCTCAGACTGTTCAAGGGCCGGACTATAGGATTAGGTCTCTCCCTCCCTCCCTCCTCTCTCCCTCTCAATCTCTCTGTGTCTGCCTCTGTATATCTTTCTCTCTGTGTCTATCTCTCTGTGTGTGTGTGTGTGTCTGTCTCTCTGTCTCTCTGTATATATCTCTCGTTCTCTCTCTCTCTCTCTCTCTCTCTCTCTCTGTTGTTCTCTCTTTCTCTCACTGTCTCTCTTTCCCTTTCTGTCTGTGTGTGTATATCTATCTCTCACTCTGTATTTCTCTCTCTCTCTGTCTCTTTTTCACTGTCTTTCTCTTTCTTTCTCTGTATCTCTCTCTGTGTGTGTCTCTGTCTCTCTCTCTGTCTCTCACTATATGCTGCCCAACAGACTGCAGCAGGAAATGGTGGGTGGCTATTTCTGCCCTTTTTTGGTGCTGGACGCGCCTTGGTCAATCGGGGAGATGTGCAACCTGCTGAGACACTGGCCTGACCGGTGCCACAGCCAATGCTGTTCCTGTTGCCAGGGGGGAGTGAGGCTGGGTCGCGTTATGGCTCTGCATCCTAATGGGCTCCAGGAAGAGGGGACCCCGTCTCCCCCATGGTGAAGTGCGCTAAATCTCACTGTGCTGTGCAAGACACTGCAAGAGCAGTGGGCAGGCTATGGAGATGGCAACAGAAGTGGCATCACCCACGGCGTGGGTCGGGCCAGTATCTCGGGGCAGAGAGAAGGTCGTGCATCTCCCCGGGGAACTGAGGCGCACCCAGCACCAACCAGGGCTGGAAGAAGTGCCCCTGAGACCCAGCAAGAGATGAGGTGCTGGAAAATCAGCCCCAGACACTTCTCTCTGCCACAGTGCTTCCTTGACACAGTTTACAACTCCGAGCCCAAAGCGATGGGAGGCATGGGCTGCCTTGAGCACAAATGTACCATGTTTGAAGGCAGAATGCTGTTGCTGTGAAAAGGCAAGTACAGGGGTGCTTTGCTCCCACACTAAGGCTCCAGCCATCACCATGGCTGCTTTGGTCTGCCTGCGCCACCCATCTTGCCACAACAGCGCCATTACCTCGCTCCAGACAGTGGGGGCTGTGCTATTCCTTGCACCACTTCTTGTACCACTTTTTGCCTGTTCCGATCCCTGTCACTAGGAACAGGCCGAAATGGGGCATGCGGTGGCAAAAAACAGGGAGCGCACAAGTTGAAAACGGGATGCTGTGGCCAAAAATGGGGCACGCGGAGGTGGCAATAGGTGATGGCAATCCCTGCAGCCTGAAACAAGCACAGGAGGTGGGACGCCGATCCAACCAACAATCAGCTGCTTGTGCTAATCAGGCTGTACTGAAGCCGGCCAGGCTGTTTGCTGTTTGCTTCAAGGAGGCAAATTGCTGGGAGGCAGAGGCAGATTTTTTTTCTTGTTTTCCTCCCCAAAAGTTAGGTGTATCTTATACTTCAGAGCATCTTATACTCCGAAAAATACAGTAATTAGTTAGGATGGATTTTTATAAGTTTGGTATATGTATTGAAAGAAAACTCTAAGGTAGTTTTGTATTTATAAAATGAAATGTAAATGTATGTTTCTGTCCTTGTATGTAACATTGAATAATTCCCAAACTTTGTAAAGTGTTATTGATCAAATTTGAAAATACAGATTAGGTACAGATACAGTTTAACAGAGTTGAAAGGGATCATCTGGTGTCAGCAATCCGCGGCTCCAGAGCCACATGAGGCTCTTTCACCCCTCTGCTGCAGCTCCCTGTGGCACTGTCGCGGCAGACTGTTGCCCTGTCACAGTGGTGGTGATGGGGGAGCCTTAGTGCGGGAGTGAAGAGCCTCCGTATTTACCTTTGCACGGAAACAGAATTCTGCTTTCGTTGCACATTTGCTGTTGCCGCCAGCAAAGAGGGCTGGGAGAGAATGGTGGGGGTGGATCTTATGGGGTGGGACCATCCCCCAAGCCTGACCTTTCTCCTCCCTCATTGGCAGGCCACGAGAAAGAATGGGTAGCGTGAGGAAGCTCTCCCCTCCCCCAGCTGAGTGCTGAGCACAAAAGGCCAGCGGGGGGGGGGGGAGCCTGTTGGCGAGTCAGATGGTGGAGAGGCCTGGCCCAGCTCTTGCAGCTGTCCTGCTGTTTGCCACCTCCAACATGAGCTGCTGCCTTTGAAATGCACCATGCCTTTGAGGAAGCCAGGCAGCAATGGCTGGGGCCGGGGGTGGTGGTGTACTGGAGGCATCAGGGCTACTTTCCCCCCTCTTCAGCAAGCCAGGCCTGGAGGAGTGCAGAGAGCCTAACCCTAACCCTTTCGGAGGGGGGGCATGTGACCTCTCCTTAAATCTGGATGATTTCCTTAGGATATATTGGAGGTGAGTGAGACCAGCTGGTATCTTTAAGTGGTGCAAATGGATCTAAGGATTGCTTTTCGTGGGTGTGCTCTTTCTGAAGAGCTTAAATGACCTCTCTGTTGAGGGGTTTCACTTTATTAGCAAGAGTTGGCTTCTGATAGTTATCATTGTATTTTAACTATTTTATTTCCTCAAGGTGCTCTGGCACCCTGCCTGATTTGTAACTCCGGCTTGCAGGTATTTTTAATCTAATGATTGGTATTTAGGGCAGCTTTTTGCAAGCAAAGAAGCTTTTTGTATTTTTGTACAGCTAGTCCTTGACTTACAACAGTTCATTTAGTGACCATTCAAAGTTACAATGGCACTGAAAAAAGTGACTTATGACCATTTTTCACACTTACGACCATTGCAGCATCCCCACTGTCATGAGAGGCCAGGCGAGGAGAAACACTCCTTGACGTGAGTGACGTTGTTAGCCATGCCCACCCAGTCACATGACCGCCAAGCCACACCCACCAATTATATCACGCTCACAGAACCATTGTTAAAAAATTTGAATCCCACCCCTGTTGTAGACTAATGTAAATATAAATCTGTATCTGATATAGAGCTGAAGGCTATTAACGTATTTGAATTCTCCTTCTTAAGGTAACTTTTTGGGGGAGAGGGGTGTTTGTTCAGCTACTTCATTTCCAGGTCTTTTATTAAAAGAAAATGATGTTCATTGCTATCTATCATCAATTTTGTGTTAAATTATACATTCTTTATTGTATGAAAGTGGCAATCATATCTAAAAGGATGAAAACTTTAATGAAATCCATTAGCCGGCATCATTGTAGCATTTCATAGAATCCAATAGCATTCCAATAAAATATCAGTTTCTTTCTCCAAAAGCTCTCTTGAAAAACACAGTTTCAAATCTTTTCCCGAATGGCAAGGAGGACCGGGATTTCCCAAATCTGGAGGTCAAGCAAGTACAGAACAAGGGAGTCATAAGTAACTTCCCTAAATGTGGGAACCCATAGATTCTACTTGGAGCAGATGGGGTGGTCTGAACTGAGCTATAAATGGTTAATGGGTAATCAGCAGCTCCCTGAACCAGGCACAAAAGCAAATGGGCATCCGTGCAGAATCTGCAGTATCAGGGTTACTTTACTATATGATCTTCATTGAGCAGCAAACAGACATCCATTCTGTACCAAGTCATATTTAAGAGCAGCGCCACGTAAACCAAATTTCATGTGGTTTAATCATAAAAAAAATCCTTTCTCTCTCTCTCTCTCTCTGCCTGGAAGAAGCAGGAGTTAATTATCAACTTACATAAAGCTTCATATTTCCATTTTTAAAAAATAGCTATTTTATATACTTACGGAGGAGCTAAGAATTTTAGGTTCCAAAATACACATAGCTTTTCCACTAATGGGCTTCCCTGAGAATACATATGATAATATTTTTTACAAAATAACTGTCTATACTCACAGATAAGCCTATTCATGGATAAGTTAACCTTTGGATTTTTCAGGAAAATACTATGAACAATGTGCCATCCACAGATAAGCCAATTACAAAAATAAAAAATATATATACAGATAGTCCTCAACTTACGATTACAATTGAGCCCAAAATTTATGTTGCTAAGTAAGCCATTTGATAAGTGCGTTTTGCCCATTTTATGACTTTTCTTGCCACTTTTGTTAAGTGAATCATTGCAATTGTGAAGTAACATGGCTGTTAAGTGGACCTGTTTTCCCCATTGACTTTGCTTGTCAGAAAGTCACAAAAGCTTGTCACATGACCCCAGACACTGCAACTGTCATAAATACAAAGCAGTTGCCAAGCATCTGAATTTTCATCATGTGACCGTGGGGATGCTGCAATGGTCATAAGTGTATGTAATAATATGGTAATAACCATCTGATTGCCCTGCCATCATTAAAAGGAGAAAATAAATCTACAAATAAAGTTTATAATGTAAAAGCACGTAAGTAATTGTTCTGATTTCTTCCATACTACAAGAGTACAAGTATACATCCAGAACATAAGTTTCTCCTATGTTAATTACTGTCTTTTTGAATTTTTTTCTTTACTGGTTTTTGGTTGTAATAATGCTGTATTCAATTCATTAAAAAGAGAGGGGTTGGGTTTGTTTTTCATGAGGAACCATTACATCTTCCAAGGACATATAGAGACTGCTAGCAAAAAAAGCTTTGGTGAGTTTTTCATACTATTAAAAAGGAGTATTTGTTATTTTTCAATTTTTAGAAAATACTAATGTTTTGGTCTATATTGTCCATAATCATAGGGTAATTTGTTTATTTTCTAGGGAGAGGAGTGAGTGGCTCTCAACAGTCCAAGGCGGTAACAGCTTTTTCAACAGTTTCACATTCTTCCCTCCTAAGCTTGAGGCGTTTCT